TACCAGTAGAGTTAATTATTCCTAAAGTTCAAGCAACAAAAGAGAAAACTTGGACTTCATCAAAATTTAAAACGTTTGGGACTGGAGAAGATGGCTTAGAGGTCAGGAGGACAGACTGCTCTTCAAGAAGACTCAGGTTTGATTCCCTGCACTCATGTGGTGGCTCTCAACTGTTTGTAACACCACATCTAAGGGGATTGGACCCTGTTCTGGCCTCTGGTGACACAGCACTCATGTGGTACACAGACAGAAAAGCTGGCAAAACACCCATACACATAAATAGATCTCAAAAAAAGAAGCTTTAAAATATTTTAAATTTTATACACATATACTATTCAGAAAGTAAACACATAATGGAAGAACAAGTTTACAGATTCTTGTTTGATAAAGATCTAGTATCTAAAATATATTTTTTAAAAGCCCTCAGAATTTAGGGCATGGGAGACAGCTCAGCAGTTAGCACTGGCTGTCCTTCCAGAGGACCTAGGTTCAGTTAGCTCACAGCCATCTGTAACTCCAGTTCCCAGGGATTCAACCATCTTTCCTGACTTCCATGGACACTGCATCCATGTGATATATAGACATACCTGCTGGCAAAACATACATACACATAAAATAAAATTAATTTAAAAAAACCCTCAAAATTCATAAATTACAAGTCAATGTTTTTAAGTTTGTTTTATTTTATGAGTATTTTGCATGTGTGTATATATGTTTACTATGTGCATGCCTGTTGCCCACAGAGGTCAGAAGAGGATACTGGAACCTCTAGAACTGGAGTTAGGGGTGGTTGTGAGCCACCATGGAGAGCTAGGAACCAAGCCTGGGTCATGCGAGAAAAAAATGCTCTTTGACTACTGAGCCATCTCTACAGCCTCCTCTTCCTCTTCCTTTTCCCCCTTCTCCCCCTCCTCCTCCTCCTCCTCCTCCTCCTCCTCACTCTCCTTCCTCTCTTCCTTCTTCTCCTTTTCCCCCCAGGTGCTGAGCATGGTGGTATAGGCATTAGCATTCAGGAGGCAGAGACAGGAGAATCTCTGCAAGTTTGAGGCCATTCTACTCTCCATAGTGACTAACAGACTAAGCAGAGATGCATATTGAGACCCTGACTAATAAATAAATGAGAGAGTGAAAGAATGTGGTGTGTGTGTGTGTATGTGTGTGTGTGTGTGTGTGTGTGTGTGTAAGAGACATATGCATATACCTGAAGAGATAGAATAGGGCATGGATTTCCAGGATCTAGGATTATAGGTGTGAGTCATTCAGCATGGGTGCTGCAAAGCAACTCAGGTCCTCTGCAATAGCAGCAAATGCTCTTCATTCCTAAGCTGTCTCTCTCCAGTCTACAAGTCAATTTCTTTTGTTCATTTATTTGTTTCAGTGTGTGTGTGTGTCTGTATGTGTGTGTTAAATTCCAAGCATACTTTGGGCTACAGAGTATCTCAAAACAACCCAGTGTCCATCAGTGGCAAATGAATAACCAGAGTGTGTTGTGTGTGTGTTGTGCACTATTCAGCTCTGGAAACAGTCAAGCTCTGACATAGATCAGTAATCCCATGTCTGGGCTGGAGAGATGGCTCAGTGGGTAAGAGCACTGGCTGCTTTTCCAGAGGTCCTGAGTTCCCAGCATGATGACTCACAACCATCTGTAATAAGATCTTGTGCCCTCTTCTGGCACAGAGGCATACATGCAGACAGAACACTATATACATAATAAATCTTTAAAGAAATCCTATGTATATGTTATTAAACCAGCATTCTGTGAGCAGCAGGACAAAGATCAGGAATTCAACCTCATTAATATAGCTAATTTAAGGCTAGCCTTGTCTACATGATGTCCTGCCTTAAAATAAAATCAGAGTTGCAGAAATGGCACTTGCCACACAAGCATGAGGACCTGAATTCAAATCCCCAGAACCCACACTAAAGTTGGTTGGGTAATGCAAGTATCTGTAATTCTAGCACTCTTTCAAGAAGATGAGAGACAGGGACTAAAGATTCTGCTATGGAAACTTATAGGTAGTTAGCCTGTGAGAAAAACTACAAAGACCTTGTCTCAAGATGAAAAGCCATTCCGATGCCATTGCATGCACATATTCTCATAAATGCACAGGCACACACAAGAATGACTACCAGACATTAGAAGTCTTGTAGTTAGCCAGGTGTTGGTAGCACACCTTTAATCCCAGCACATCGGATGCAGCTTGGCCTGCAGAGTGAGTTCTTGGACAGTCAGGGATACATAGAAACCCTGTCTCAAAACAACCAAAAAGATAGTTTTGTAGTTTTCCTTTTTGTCTTGTAATTTCTCTTTTCACATTTGCTGCTAGGAAACTAAGATAAATTTGTTGCTCACTTAATAAGTAGCCATAGTCATCATGACAGTCTTTGTGGTTTAAAATTAGTATTAAAAAAAAACTCCTTTTCACACCTCAGTGCTTATTTTTAGTTCTGAATTTAGCCTATTATGTCATTTTTGAGGTTGTTTTTTTTTTAAGATTTATTTATTATATATATAACTTTCTGCCTACATGTATCAATGCAAGCCAGAGGAGGGCACCAGATCTCATTACAGATGGTTGAGAGTCACCATGTGGTTGCTAGGAATTGAACTTGGGACCTTTAAAAGAGCAGTGCTCTTAACTGCTGAGCCATCTCTCCAGCCCTCATGTCATGTTTTAAATGTCTGCATGTGGACAGAGTTTTCTGTTTAGCCTGGTCCCTCCACATTTCAGTCACAAATAAACACACAGTGCTTATATTAATTATAAACTGTTTGGCTGATGGCTTAGGCTTCTTACTGGCTAGCTCTCTCTTAATTATTAACCCAAAACTATTAATCTATGTATTTCTACATTGTCTTATCTTACCAGAGAATGCCTGGTGTCCTATCTTCCCAGTAGCTACATGGCATCTCTCTGGTGGCTCCTCTCCACCTTCCTCTTCCCAGAACTCTCCTAGTCCAGTAGCCCTGCCAATACTTCCTGCTACTAGCCAGTCAGCATTTACTCATCAACTAGCAAGAGAAACATGTATTCACAGCATACAGGACATCCCCCATTATCTGTATAAGCTAATCAAAATATTTTCTGGAACCCTAAGAGTGTAGCTCAGTAGTAGAGCACTTTCCTGTTGCTTGTGGGGCCCTGGGTTAGTCACCTGCACCATAAATTTTATAAAACTAGTTATGGTAGTGAATTGTAAACTTATATGCTTATAAAAATAGATATACACATAGAGAAAATCAATATTCCAGGCCAGTAGTTTTCAGTGGGGGAGTATTTTTTTCCCCATTTGTAGTTGGCATAAGCAGTTTCTGGTGTTTGAACATGCAGGATGCTATTGACATCCTATGTTGAATTAGACAACTCCCCACAACAAAGTATTACCTAGGTCAAATTGATCAAACATGAGTTTGATCCCTGGGATGCACATGGCAGAGGGAAATAACTGACTCCTGAAAATTGTCCTGTGACTTCTACATGCATGCTATAACACCTAATTACCTTCACACACATACACACATGCACTCCTGATTAAAAAAAAAATACCATTTTATTAGATTTTTTTATTTTATGGGTTTTGCCTGCATGTGTGTGTGTGTACCACAGGCGTGCTTGGTGCACACAGAGGCCAGAAGAGCACATCAGATCTGGGTCTGGAGTTATAGTTGCTTGTGAACTGCCACGTGGGTGCTGGGAATCACACCCAAGACCTGTGAAGAGCACCCAGTACTCATAACCACTGAGCCATCTCTCCCAGCCCTAATTTAAAAAAAAAAAAAAAAAAAGTGCCTGGCAGTGGTGACACACGCCTTTAATCCCAGTGCTAGGCAGGTGGATCTTTGTGAGTTCCACGCTAGCCTGGTCTACAAAACTAGTTCCAGGACAGGCTCCAAAGCTACACAGAGAAACTCTATCTTGAAAAACTAAAAAAGAATAAAAGAATGCTGACGATGGGAAACCCTGCTAAAGACTAGGCCATTCAGTCTATAGTTTCCCACAATAGCACTGCGGACACATCTGGGTACATAGTGACACATCTGCTTCCTCTGTCAGAGCACCTGAGTAGTTAGCTCCATCAGTGACAGCAGGGCCTGGATCTCCATAGGCGGCACTTTCTAGAAATCCTCACATGGCTGAAGAAACTCAGAATGACCCTCTCAACACTGCTAATTCCATCCTTGAGGGGGCAGCCCTTGTGATTCATCACAAGAACCCTGACCTTCATAGTACCACCCCGGTGAAGATTAGGTTTTTCTCCCCTTCCCCCCTCCTTTCTTAAGGATTTACTCATCTATTATGTATGCAGTGTTCTGTCTGCTTGTATCCCTGCAGTCCAGAAGACGGCACCAGATCTCATTACAAACGGTTGTATCTATTTGCTGGGAATTGAACACAGGGCCTCCAGAAGACCAGCTGTTGTTCTTAATCACTAAGTCATCTCTCCAGTCCCCTTTTTTTCTTTTTTTAAAGACATATTTATTGTGTGCATATGCATGTACATGTGTGCCTGTGTCTGTTACTTTTTGGATTTTTTGTTGTTGTTGTTGTTGTTGTTTTTTTTAATTAGCTCATGGAGACTGCCCCTGCCTCTGCCTCCTGGGTGCTTATATTAAAGACATGCACTGTTGTCTGGTTCATCATGAGTTTTGGAGAAGATATCAAGTCTCCAGGGTGCTGTGACTCTAACATACAGTGTATACTCTGAGTGAGAAGATTGAGTGTCCTACTACTATCTATCATCAATCAAATATTCCAGAGAACCATATTTCTTTTCCCTCCTGAAATATACTGTGTAGTCATAGCATCTGGTTAAGAAAACTCTATGCATCTCCGGCTGTCCTGGAACTCAGAGATCCCTTCCTGGGCGCTGAGATTAAAGGCTTGTACCCCCACCCCACCCCTGGCTGGGATAGGTGCATTTTATTTGAACCCCAACATTTTGAATGTTTGATTTATAGATAAAATGAGACTGTTCATTCCCCCTCCCTCTCTTTCCAGGCTTTCATAGAGACCATGTTTGCCAGTAAAGCACCAGTAGACGAAGCCTTTCTTTATGCAAAGGTGAGCTTCATGTAGCAAGAAAAGTCATGTTGGGGCTTCCCTGGTTCACAGATGACATACATTGTCTTGCAGACAGGCAGAGAGAGTAGTGACAGTTTATTCTTCTCATTTTACTGTTAACTTACGCATCTACAGCGTGCAGTGTCACACTGAAGAAAAGTGCAGAGCACAGCCAGTGAAGAAAGATTAAACAGTGTGAAAGGAGACCAGCCCTGATACGTGTAAAGGAAGGAAGGTCTGAGGCAGCGCTTAGGTGGTGGGTGACTTCAGGGTATACTGAAGGTGGCAGAATGTGCAGTTCCCAGCATCCTTTTCCATTTAGGTTGGCAACTATTTGCAAGGCTAAAATTAGCTGTTTTAAGGTATTGTTAAAAATATAAGCTGTATTTTATTGTTTAGCTGATGAGAATAGCCTTGCATGTGTTTTTTACTTAGCCTTCTTTACAGATTTTGTCTTCTTCCGGACTTAAATTGCAGGGATGAAATAATAAGAGTGAGGCCAGATGTATTGGTGCATGTCAGATCACAGCACTGAGGAAAGGGACACTCGTGGTCCAGGAGCTCGGGGTCACCCTCAACTATATAGTAAGCTTGAGGTCAATCTGGCCTGCATGCACTCCTGTATCAAAAATACAAGTATGTGGTAAAGCTGGATGACAGGATTGATATCAGAGGGCATTTTATAGACCAGAATATAGTACATCAGGTAAGAGTCAAAGAAATTGCTGAGTTGATGACATAAAACCTTTGGTTAGGTGTGACCAGTGTTCCCGTAATGACTTACAGTAAGTGCCTTTGTGGTGGCTAAAGACAGTCTGGGCTGGGACAGTTCCATGAAGATTATGAGAGTCAAACTTTGTTGTATTTCACAGTTTGAATTTGAGTGCCGGGCTCGAGGTGCAGACATCCTAGCCTACCCACCTGTGGTTGCAGGCGGTAACCGCTCCAACACTTTGCACTATGTGAAGAACAACCAGCTCATCAAGGTAATCAGAGTGCCCCTGCAGTCTGCTCCCCAAGAGGCCCAGCATTCCCATAGAAAATTCACTGCTCTTCCCTCACCAGTGGAATATCATTCAAAAAGCACTTTTTTTTTGGGGGGGGGTGTTCGAGACAGGGTTTCTCTGTGGCTTTGGAGGCTGTCCTGGAACTAGCTCTTGTAGACCAGGCAGGTTTTGAACTCACAGAGATCCGCCTGCCTCTGCCTCCCGAGTGCTGGAATTAAAGGCATGTGCCACCAACGCCTGGCAGCACTTTATTATTTCTAAAATGGTTTGCGGATATTATTTCATTAGTCCTTAGAGTCATCCTGTTAGGTAAGAACAGTTACTATCATGCTCACTTGTGGATGAAAAAGGTGATAGCTACGCATTAGCAAGCCATAGGACACACTCAGGGTCTGAGGCAGGATCTGATGCAGCGCTGAGCCAAACGGGCAACCTCCAGAATGTAGACTGTAAAGCATGCCTGTGGAGCTCCCTGAAATGGAACTTTCCTTTGTGGGCTTACTAGCCCACTAGTTCAGTATCTCCTTTTTTCGTGAGTTTATTGTGGTAGTAATCATGTCTTTGTTTTATCTTTTTTGGTTGGTTGGTCAGAAGTCACAGTGGAGTAACCTAGAGGCTTTGTGACATGATACTCACCAGCTTGAACTCCAAGGCTGAACTTGAACTCCATTGTAAGACTAGCTACCTTTCCCACGAAGCTAAACAGAAACTCATGAAAATTAGAACATTACATTTTAATTTTTTTATTTAGAAATATCATTTGTTTCATAAACATGTGACTTAAGTAATAAGAGTTTTGGGGGTAGAATTAAGAGATAAGTCTAACCCTGTGGCCCGGGATGTCTACAAACTCCTAGCCATAAGCTGTCATGCTATGTCAACCTTCTGAGAGAAGCTGGGACTCCAGGCATATGCAGTATTTTGGGGAATTTTGTATTGTTTGTAGTGCTAGGGATCAGACTTGGGGAACCATGGGTGCTCTAACCACTGAACTATATAGCAAGAACACAATTGGTTTTTGTTTTGTTTTTTCATTTCATTCAGATTTAATTAGAGATCCCATTCTCAGAATTTATTGTAAAAAATGAAAACAAATAGAGTTGCTTGTCTATTTATTTTTGTAATTAAATGTATTTTTTCACAATTTCTTTTAAACTGCTTTTTTAAAAAAGATTTATTATGTACAGTGTTCTGCTTGTATGTTTTGCCTATATGCCAGAAGAGGGCACCAGATCTCCTTATGGATGGTTGTGAGCTATCATGTGGTTGCTGGGAATTGAACTCAAGACCTCTGGAAGAACAGCTAGTGCTCTTAACCACTGAGCCATCTCTCCAGCCCCACAATTTTTTTTTTTTAAGATTTATTTATTTATTATGTCCATTGTTTCTTTGCCTGCATGTATGTCTGTGTGAGGGCATTGGATCCCTAGAACTAGAGTTCCAGACATTTGTAAGCTGCCATGTGGGTGCTGGGAATTGAATTTGGGTCCTTTGGAAGAGCAGCTGGTGCTCATAGCCCCTGAGCCATCTTTCCAGCCCCACAATTGTTTTTTTGTTGTTGTTGTAGTTGTTGTAGCTGTTTTATCATGTATACAGTGTTCTGCCTACATGTATGCCTGCAGGCCAGAAGAGGGCACCAGATCTCATTATAGATGGTTGTGAGCCACCATGTGGTTGCTGGGAATTGAACTCAGGACCTCTGGAAGAGCAGCCAGTGCTCTTAACCTCTGAACCATCTCTCCAGCCCCACAATTGTTATTTTTAAGTGATTTTAATACTATAAATTTTTTTCTTAATGTGATAATAGACATAGTTATTTCCAAATTTACAGTGTTATAAACAGTGTTCTTTGGGCATTATTGCCTTTGCCCTGGCATATAAAAATATCAAGTTTATCCAGGGGATATGTAATAGTGGAATTTCTGGGTTTAAAGATACAAATATTTGCATCTTGGATAATACCAAACATTTCCAAGGTATTACAGCAATTAAATTTCCTTTCCTGAGATAACTATACATTTTTCTACCATTTTGTCTATTTTTACTTAAGTCATGGTCATGTCTAAATCTGCTTCATAATCATATTTAATATATCTTTTCTCAAAAAAGAAATCTAACTGGACAGTTACTTTAAGAAGTAAACATACCAACTGGACTTGTATGGTGTGCCTTTAATCCTAGACAGGCAGATCTCTGGTATGATTTTGAGGCCGGCCTGGTCTTCCTTCATAGTAAGTGCTATGCCAGCCAGGGCTACATAGAGGGAGACCCTTTCTCAAAAAAAGCAATTTGGTGTTGTGTAAATTAATTTATTTCTGCTTCCCACATATATAGATTTATATCTTTAATCTGTTGTATCTCAAATATAATTCTTTTTGTTGTTGTTGTTTGTTTTTCGAGACAGGGTTTCTTTATGTAGCTTTGAAGCCTGTCCTGGCACTTGCTCTGTAGACCATGCTGGCCTCAAACTCACAAGAGATCTACCTGTCTCTGTCTCCCAAGCGCTAGGATTAAAGGTGTGTGCCACCACCACCCGGCAGTATCTCAGATATAACTCTTAAAAGTATCGTCTCTCATGGGTCCTATCTTTTCATTCTTTACTCCTTCAAGGTCTTCAAATAAATGTGTCCTGTACCTTTTCATTCTATTCTTTGTTTCATATTTCCCCTTGCCTCACCTCTGTCATGTTCTAGGTGATTGTTTAAGTATATCCACCATTGTTGGTATATGTCTTATGTGCTATTAACTTAGCCCACTAATTGGCAGGTCTAGTGTTTCTGAAATAGGGTATTGCTATTTAGCACCAGCTAGCTGGAACTCAGAGATGTCCCAGCCTCTGCCTCCTGACTGCTAGGATTGAAGGTGTATATGACCATACCAAGCCTTGGGTTGTCTTTTGTTTAAGCAAAAGTCTTTCCAGTATCTCTTATATAATATGAACATTTTATAAAATGTTTTATACAGGACCAAGTTGGTTTTTAGCAGGTACTTTATTCCATCCTGTTGCCATTTGTTCTACCCTCCACCCCCAGACAAAGTTTCACTGTGTATCCCTTACTGTCCCCTGTAGACAAGACTGACCTCAAACTCAGAGATCCACCTGCCTCTGCCTCCCAAGTACTGGGATTAAAGGCATGTGCCACCACTGCCTGACTAAATACCATCATTTTTGTGCCATTTTATTTATATGTGACAAATATAAAATTTTATTTATATGTGACAAAGATATGCCCTTTCTTTAAGGACATGTGTGGATCAGAAAAAATACACTCCTCAACTTTTTCTTCTTTCCTGTGTGTATTATTGAAAGACCCCCAGACCCCTAAGGGCCTCAGGATCCCGAGGAGCCCCCGAGACTCAGAAACCAATCCAAGAGCTGCAAAAGCAAGAGGGTTTGTTGAACGAATGCGCATTCGGGTGTCAGCAATATCGGGAAAGCTGCACACCCAGCATGGGGTGCAAGCTCTTTATATAGGAAAAAAAACATAGATCAGCATACAGGCAAGGGACACAAAGTGATTGATTACAAAGTATGATCTCATGTTAGAGTGGTCACCCAGGTGTGACCTGCTTTTCTACAAAGAAAAAACCACAGAAAGTACCCTGAAAAGTCCTTGACTGTCTGTTGGCCAGCCAGGTGTGACCCAAAGAGGGTTGTCTTGGCGATTGCCCCTGTCTAAACCATAGGATGTGCCCGGGATTGGGGGGAAGGTCCTTGTAATGGACCAAGGCCTGTGGGAAACTTTTTCTCTCTGTGAACTAAAATCTTTCATTATGACAGCAGAAGAGGAATGCTAAAATTAGGCTAAGAGTAATGAATCTGTGTTAGTTCATGACCAACCTTGTCTACATAGCAAATTCCAAACCAGCCAGAGCTGTACACAGAGACCATAAGAAAAAGATGCTAAGAGTAGTTGTGTTTTAGTAAGGAGGTTGATTAACATATGTAGTTTATGATGATGGTGATTGTCAGGTTTATGCAGCAAGCACCCTTACTCAGTGAACCATCCTGCTGGCCCCAAAGACCTTCCCCCACCTTAATTTGTGTATGTGTGAGTGTTTTGTCTGCATAGGCCCATGGAGATCAGTCGAGGTTCATCAGATCCCCTGGAACTGGATTTAAGGGTGGTTGTAAACCACCATGTGAGTGCAGGGAACGAAACCCAGCTCCTCTGCAAGCACAAGTGCCTTTATCCACTAACCCATCCCTCCAGCACCCCCAGAGACACTGAGAGGAGAAAAAACAACTTGCAGTTGTGAGATTGTTAGATTGCTACCTCCTTCCCCTTTCTATGTTCAGGATGGCGAAATGGTGCTTCTTGATGGAGGTTGTGAATCTTCCTGCTATGTGAGTGACATCACCCGGACATGGCCTGTCAATGGCAGGTAGGGATTCTTCAGAGTTACCTGCCCATGGCATCTTAGGATTTGAGTTGGTGTAGGGATATATCTAGAATAAGTGACTCTTACATGTCAAGTCAACTGTTTTTACAAAGCTTTTTACTGTTTTTGGTTTTGGCTGTTTAGTTCATTATGTAGCATAGTAAGGCACATAGAAAGACTTAACATATGAACCACATGTACTTTGTTTTGGTGTTTCCATTTGTAGTTTTCCTTATTGCTTTTTTCCTTCTGATTATAATGTCTTATTCATGGTGCAGTAGTATATCTTCATTGGGTTAACACTCCACAGATAATGATTACAAAATCTCAACAAAATATTAAGAATAATTTGAAGGTCCTTAGAGAGTATCCACTATAGGCAAATCTTTAAACCTTATGTATATATTATTTGTTTGTTTTTTATGTGTATGGATGTTTTTGCTTGCATGTATGGGCACCATATAGATGAGGTACCGACAAACAAGAAGAGGGCTTTGAATCTCCTGAAACTGGAGTTATAAATAGCTATGAACCGGGGCTGGAGAGAGAGGTCAGAGGTTGGGAGCACTGACTGTTCTTCCAAAGGACCCAGGTTCAATTCTCAGCACCCATTTGGCAACTCATGAAAATAAAAAGATGGAGAAAGACATTTCCACAAAAACATCAACCATAAGGAAATTAAAATGGTATGGCTTTTTGATCTTTTGGATAAGATCTAGTATATAAAACTGAAACAGTGACATTAATACAAACAGACATCAGGATAAGAATGCGGTCAGAAGTAAAGTGGAGCATTCATGATAATGACAGTGCATAGGTTCCTAAAACAGCTCCAAAGTACACAAAGCAAAACTGAAAAGACTGAAGAGAAAGAGAAATGAATGGCCCCATACAGCAGATTTATAGGACAAGTATTCACAGAGATCATGAAATATCAAGCCTCAGATCAAATCAACACACACGCACGCACGCACGCACGCACGCACTGGCTTTTTGAAGCAGTGTTTCCTTCTGCAGCCCCAGCTCTTCTGGAACTCGCTCTGTAGTCCAGACTGGCCTCTAACTCAGAGATCCTCCTACCTCTGCCTCTCAAGTACTGGGATTAACGGCTCCCACTGTTAATTACTCTCCGCTGACAAGTATATTTTAGAGTCTCCAAATGATAAAGCTGGAGAGATGCCTCGGTGAGAAGAGTTCTTGCTCCTCTTCCAAATGACCCATGTTGGGCAGCTCACATCTGCTTGCAGCTCTAGCTCCAGGGCCTCATCGGGCACTGTGTGCACTTGCACAAACCAGGAACACGTATATGCATAACTTAAAATAAATAAAATCTCTTTTTTTAATCTCCAAATGGTTGGGAAACAGTGAATATGAGGCAGATGTGGTACTGTGCTTTTTTAAGCCAGGACTCAGGGGGCTGAAGCAGAATGATAAAGAGTTAAAGGCCAGGGGCTGGAGAGATGGCTCAGCAGTTAAACAAGGACAGTCATGTCTACAGAGTGACTTCCAGGACAGCCAACTCTATACAGAGAAACCCTGTCTCAAAAAAAAAAAAAAAAAAAAAGAAAAGAAAGAAAATACCATATATAAATATTAGGGGAATACAGCTTAAGCAAAAATCTGTGTGACTTTTTTTTTTCCAACACAATCTCACTTAGTAACCCAAACTATTGCACACTTACTGTGTAGTCCAGGCTGGCCTCAACCTAATGAGTACTGGAATTATTGAGTTCTGTACCACCATGCCCAATTTAGAAGTTACAAACTTTAAATGTTTAAACTGGAAAGAAAAGTTGCAGGTACTTACACAAGGTTTTGGGCTCAGACTGCAACACCAGAAAGAAATAAAAAGGGAGAAAAGTTTTAAATCAGTAATAAAAACTTCCACCTTAAGAAACTATTGAAGGGCCAGCAAAATGGCTAGCTGGTAAAACACCTGCTGCCAGGCCTGCCTACCAGATACCTAACTGGCATTCCTTGGCTTTGCTGTACCTAGATTCACCGCACCTCAGGCAGAGCTCTATGAAGCTGTTCTAGAGATCCAGAGAGCGTGTTTGAGACTGTGCTCCCCTGGGACAAGCTTGGAGAACATCTACAGCATGATGATGACACTGATGGGACAGACGCTTAAAGATCTGGGGATCATGAAGAGCAGCAAAGAAAATGCCTTCAAGGTAACTCCTTCCTCTTCACCCAGTCCTTAAGAACAGCCAACATGCTGCTAGATTTTAATAAAGCTAGAGAGACTTAGACACTGTCTTTGCAGTTCTTTTTAAGATGAATTTAGCTTTAACATGGATTAAAACAAAGGGAGTTGGTACTTATTTTTGCCAGAAGATGGCAGCATATTCCAATTCATTGTGGGCTGTAACACCAGTATAGTGCTCAAAACAAAAGTGAAGACTGTAAAGGCAGAGTGGAAAGGAACACAAACAATGAGAGGTTAACTCCTAAGCCTTCCTGGGGACTCTAGAGGTCCAAGGGGAGGCTGTTTATTGGTTCAGCTACATTATTGAGACTTGGAAAAATGCCCAAGGGCTACATCTTTAATGGGTTTTATCTGTATCTGAATGTAATGATATCCATTATAATTGCAAAAATCTGAGCCATACAAGCATTAGGCATCTTCCATCTCCAAGTTTAGACTGCCAGGACTCCTATTAGCTAAAAAAGAAGTTACAAATTCCCTGTGCCAAGCCAGCGAATACTTAACTGATAGAAATATCCAAGCCAATGAATATACAGTCATGCCTATTCCACAATTTGATGTGGGATACTTAGGGTTTCAAGAGTAGGCTACCCAAGGGAGATGTGTGAGTTATATCTTCTTTTTTAATTTCACTAATGGCAGGGGCAAGGTGTCATAACCCAGGCTGGTCTTGAACTCCTGATTCTCCTGTCTCCACCCACCAAGAGCTAGGATTACAAGTATGTGCTCATAGTTTATATTTTCCTCTTTTTGTTTGTTTCGTTAGTTGGTTGGTTTTCAAAATAGGATTTCTCTGTGTAACAACTCTGGTTGTCCTAGAACTTGCTCTGTAGAATAGTCTGGTCTCAAATTCACAAAGATCCACCTGCCTCTGCCTCCCAGGTGCTGGGATTAAAGGTATGTGTCACCACTGCTCTGCATATTTCCCTTGTATGACTTGAAAGGATAACAACATTTCTGTCCTCCTTTCCCCAGAAAAGATTTCCCCACCCACACCCATGCTAGGGATCAAACTGAAGACCTTGCTTATAGTAGGCAAATACCACTGAGCTTGTCCCAAAATGGTTTTGTTTTGTCAGTTATTACTGGAATTCTTTAGCCCATTTAACAGTGGGATGGAAAGCAGTATGGTAAGTATGCTAATGGCACAGTTGCATAGAGGAAGTAACAGTTTGCCAGGCATGGACATGGCTTAGTGAGTAAAGTGTTTTCTAATATAAGCATGAGGACCTGAGTACAGGTCCTCAGCATCCATGTAAAAAGGTAGGTATGGAGGCTGAAGAGGTGGCCCAGAGGTTGGGAGCACTAGCTGCTCTTCCAGAGGACCCAGGTTCCCAGCACGCACATAGAGGCTCAAGAACATCTGTAACTACAGTTCCAAGGGATCTGATACCCGCTTCAGGCCTCTGAGGGCACTAGGTGAGTACAAATACACATATATATGTGCAGGCAAACACTCATACTAGTAAATTTAAATAAACCTTAAAAAAAAAAAAAGAAAAAAAGAAAAAAGGCTGGGCAGGAGTGGTGGTTACACTCCTTTAATCCTAGAACTCCCAGGCAGAAACTGGTGGGTCTCTTGAGTTCAAGGGCAGCCTGGTCTACAGAGTGAGTTCCAGGACAGCCAGGGCTACACAGAGAAACCCTGTCTCTTTAGAAAAAAGAAAAAACAAAAACAAAAAAAAACTAAGCACAGCAGCCTGTTCCCATAATCCCAGCACTGGTTGGTGGAGACCAGAGAAACCTCTGGGGACTTAACCCCTAATCTAGCCAGCCAGTGAGCTTCAAGCTCATCGAGGAGAAAAAGAAAAAAAAGTACAAGGACAACAAGATAGTTCCATGTATAAAGTCACATGCCACCAAGCCTAATGGCCTGAATTCATTCCCCAGAACCTACATGTTAGGAAGAGAGAACAGGTTATGCTCTTACCTCCACACACACATTAGGCATGTACACCCACACAAAAACACAACCAGTCAATCAAGAAACAAGGTGAAGTTCTATAGACAAAAACAGCCACTGTCAACTCTGGCTTCAATAGGCATGTTCATGAGCCTGTGTGTACACACTGGCATCCCACACCCCCATGCACACTCCACACCATACCACACACACACACCCCAAAAAAATGCTGTTTGTTAGGTCTCTTAAGTATTAGTCCAATGCCGAGCGTTGGTGGTGCACACCTTTAGTCTCAGCACTTGGGAGGCGGAGGCAGGCAGATCTCTGTGAGTTTGAGGCCAGCCTGGTCTACAGTGGGAGTGCCAGGACAGGCTCCAAAGCTACACAGAGAAACCCTGTCTCAAAAAAAATAAAAAAACAAAAAAATAAAAAGTATTAGTCCAAGGATAGGATAAATAGAAATGGCAGAAACTGATAGTTATTAACACCACATCTCACTGATTTATCCATGCCAACTTTCCCTGTAAGAACTCATTGCCTACTAATACTGTGGTAATTATCTTTTCCAGGCTGCTCGGAAATACTGTCCTCATCATGTTAGCCATTACCTTGGAATGGATGTCCATGACACTCCAGATATGCCTCGTTCACTCCCTCTGCAGCCTGGTATGGTGATCACAATTGAACCAGGTGAGGGATGGGTTAACCTCAAGTATACATTGCTTATTTTTATTTACAGAATACAAAATATTTAGGTTTGTCTTGTGTTTTCTTATTTAAGATCACATGGTTTGTTTAATTTGACTCCTCCAATAAACAACAGATGGCAAATACTTTCTGTAAGTCGATATTAAGAAATAAATCTTTTTTTAATCCTGCCTTTGCCAGGGCCAACTTGTGATAGTCTCACAGTTAGTAGTGGTGGGTTACACATCCTGCTACCTACAGTGAACCACCCACCATCATCCCACAGACAGTTCCCTGACTCAAGAGAGTGGCTATTGGGCAGAGTGGAAAAGTGAAGCAGTGACCACAGTAAGATGCAAAGGCCGTTAGGAGAGCTGACTGTTAAAAACGATACTACCTGCACTGTAAGATCAGGACCGAAAGTCAAAATTAGGTGTGTTATGCCTGACTAATGAAGGTCTTTTTACATTGTTTGTTTGTTTGGGGTTTGTTTTTCTTGTTTGTTTGTTTTTTTATGTGTTTTGAACAGGGTTTCTCTGTGTAACAGCCCTGGCTGTCCCGGAACTCTATAGGCCAGACTGACATTGAACTCACAGAGATCCACCTGTGTTTGCCTCCCTAGTGCTGGGATTGAAGGCGTGCGCCACCACCACCCATGAATAAATATCTTTTGTGCTAGCCTACGAAGCAGTCAGTCGCATTATGCTCTGCAGCATTGGATGCTGTTCTGGCTAGTAATGGCTGCTACAGTTGCCAGTGTTTGTATCAAAAAGTATCTGAAGAAGTTTGCAGGTTCTTTGTTTTGTTTGTTTGGGATTTTTTGATTGTTTGAATTTGGGAGGTTGTTTGGTTGGGGTTTTTTGTTGGTGGTGGTGGTTGGTTGGTTGGTTGGTTGGTTGGTTGGTTGGTTGGTTTTCGAGACAGGGTTTCTCTGTGTAACAGCTCTGGCTGTCCTGGAACTAGCACTGTAGACCAGGTTGACTCAAACTCACAGAGTGCTGGGATTAAAGGGGAGTGCCAGGGCTGGAGAGATGGCTCAGAGGTTAAGAGCACTGACTGCTCTTCCAGAGGTCCTGAGTTCAATTCCCGGCAACCATATAGTGGCTCACAACCACCTTGAATGAGATCTGGTACCCTCTGCTGGCATGAAGGCAGAAGACTGTATATATAATAAATAAACAAATAAAATCTTTTAAAAAGGCGGGGGGGTGGGGGGGGTGTGCCACCATCTGACTTTTTTTGTTTGTTTGTTTTGTTTTGTTTTTTGGAGATAGGATTTCTCTGTGTAATAGTTCTGGCTGTCCTGGAACTCCCTTTGTAGACCAGGCTGGCCTCGAACTCACAGAGATCCACCTGCCTCTGCCTCCCAGGTGCTGGTATTAAAGGTGTACACCAAATACCCTTTTTCAGAGAAAGGCAAGGAAAGATACACATTTATATAACCTGCTGGTCCCTAATGTAAATAATAATGTTTTTGTAAATTAGTGACTTTTTCAGTATTTATTTATTTATTATGTATACAGTGTTCTGCTTGCACACCAGAAGATGACACCAGATCTTCATTATAGATGGTTGTGAGCCACCATGTGGTTGCTGGGAATTGAGCTCAGAACCTCTGGAAGAGCAGTCAGTGCTCTTAACCACTGAGCCATCTCTCCAGCCCTTTGGGGGTTTTTTGTTTGTTTGTTTCTTTCTTTTTAAATATTTAGTGACTTTCTTAAACCACTAGACCATAACAGAATCGTGATTGGTATTATTATCATAGTTGTATGTAGTCTGTAATGTACTAAACAAAATGGCTATAACAGTGGTAATGCTAGCTAATGAGAGCCACCTTGACTGATCTTCATGTACACAGTAGTTCTTTTAATTCTCACAGCTCTGAGGTAAGTTCAGTAAATATCTGTCAGTAACAGATGAGGGTACTTGCTTCTGATCCACTAGTACTGTCACTGGTCACAGCCCATTTCTCTATTCTTTAGGCATTTATATTCCAGAAGATGACAAAGATGCACCAGAGAAGTTTCGAGGTCTTGGAGTTCGGATTGAGGATGATGTAGTGGTGACTCAGGACTCACCTCTTATCCTTTCTGCAGATTGTCCCAAAGAGATGAATGACATTGAACAGATCTGCAGCAGGGGCTCTTGACCACCACTGTGGCTGTCACCTCTGAGGTCCAAGACTAGCATCTGTGCCATGTGTATAGTCAGTGTCTCTGGGTGGGGATTAGACATAGGTTCCTTGGGGAGTGCACAGCTCTATGAGTGGATGTCCCTATATGTGAGGACATTTTCTTGTTAAATAGATGTAAATCTGGGAAGGTGATCTCTGGAACAATCTGTTACTAGGACTTTAACAACATAAATCTGAAAAGTTAATGATCCAGAAGGCTTAACATGTGGATGTAAAGTACGGTTTTGGTTGTGTGTGCCCATGCATTCTAATTAACCCATTTCAGCAAAATCTTCTCTTCGAATTCTTCTCTTCCTGCACTTCTGCTGAGATCCACTTAATAGCCTAAGATGCTTGTGTGATGCCTGTATCTTTACTGTTAACCAAAGTCTATGCCAGTACTTACTTTCCATGATCTCTGCCTCCCCAGCCAAGTTCTGCACATCTACTGGACCCTCTCAGGCTCAGGGAACACAGGTGTCCTGCAGTCTTTCCATTCACCCACAGTACAGCAACACCAGCCAGCGAATAAAAGAGTCTTGGTTCTTTCTTGTCATTCAGTTGCCCAGCACCTGGAAAGTGTCTAGGTTCTTCTAAGGAAGAAAATGAAAAATAAGAGAAAGTATCTGTGTCCCCACAGATCCAAGACTTGAACTGTGTTTTCTTCAATTTAAAGGAAATTCTATTTCAAATGTCCACCTTCCTGTCCTTCATAGGTTTTTTTTTGTTGTTTTTTGTTTTTTTGTTTTTAGATTTTATTTATTTATTATGTATACAGTCTTCTGCCTGCGAGGGCACCAGATCTCATTCAAGGTGGTTGTGAGCCACCATGTGGTTTCTGGGAATTGAACTCAGGACCTCTAGAAGAACAGTCAGTGCTCTTAATCGCTGAGCCATCTCTCCAGCCCCATAGGTTCTTTTCCTAGACAAAATGTCACTGTGTGCCTCAGATCCCTCATAGGTTGCTTTGTGACAGGCTTTTAATGTAGCTCAGGCTAGCCTCAAACTACCGATCTTCCTGCACCCTGCCCACCTTTATAGAGTTTTTGTGGGATTTATTTTTGTTTATTTGGATGGTTTTTCAAGACAGAGTTTCTTTGTGTAATAGCTCTAGCTGTCCTGGAACTCACTCTGTAGACCAGGCTGGCCTCAAACTCAGAGATCTACCCGTCTCTGCCTCTGGAGTGCCAGGATTAAAGGTGTGCACCAATCGGTTCACTTCTTTTATTTTTTTTTTTTCTTTTTTTCTTTTTTTTTCTTTGGTTTTTCAAGACAGGGTTTCTCTGTATTGCTTTGGAGGTTGTCCTGGAACTCTCTCTGTAGACCAGGCTGGCCAAGAAAGCTGCTTTTTGGGGGGGTGTGGGGTTTCGAGACAGGGTTTCTTTGTGGCTTTGGAGGCTGTCCTGGAACTAGCTCTTGTAGACCAGGCTGGTCTTGTACTAACAGAGATCCGCCTGCCTCTGTCTCCCTGTGCTGGGATTAAAAGTGTGAGCCACCACCACCTGGCGTGGTTCGCTTCTTACTCTAAACTAGGGATGCAATGGCAAAAAGTCATGTTTCTTTCCCTAAACATATCATCAGGTTCAGTTGTACAACCCAGCTTGCATGGTGAGCAGGGCAGGACTGGATTCATACAGATGCTTTATTCAAAAGCTTATGTGACAGAGGGAAGCCCTAAGAGCTAGTATGTTGACTTCTTTTAAGTCTGAGGATGTGCATAATACAAACAGACTGCACCCAGGTGTAATAGTTCACACCTATCATCATAGCACTTACAAAACTGAAGCAGGAGGATTGCTATGAGTTCAAGACTAGCCTAGGCTACAGGGCAAGACCCTGTTTCTAAAATGAAAATAGTAGTGATACAGAGACTGCAAGTAGAAAGCCCTGACTGCTCTCTGGTGTTCCTGTCGATCATAAGTAAAGTGTAGTGAGCTCCCCCACCAGTCCAAATGGGACCTTAGCCTCCTTTATAACTGTCTGCCTAGAAACTCCTGCCAATTAAATGAGTTGGGATTTGAGTTGGCACCGTTGCCACCACTGACTAACAGACAGTAAATGAAAGCATCACTTATTGAACCAGGCAATGGTGGTGCACACCCTTAATCCCAGCTTTGGGGAGACAGCAGCAAGTAGATCTCTGAGTTTGACGACAGCCTGGTCTGTATAGCAGTGAGTTCCAGGACACCCAGGGTTACATAGAGAGGCCCTGTCTGAAAAAAAAAAAAAAGAAAAAGAAATTTCAATGGGTGCCCAAGTTTCTGGTGTTATAAAGAACACTGCACAGAGAGGCTCTTACAGTGTGGCTAGTATTTTTTATTCTTTACTTTCTGAAGTGGCATTGAAGGCACAAACTGAATAGATCGTCTAAGTTTTAGAACTTGGTAAATCTTTAAATTGATGTGTTTTCAGATGTTCCTGGAGTGATGAAAAGGTGATGGTGATGACACCATTAACTCCCAACACTGTGACAGATTGCTGTGGTCACAAGCCTCATGGTTTCTGGGCTTCCTCCTGTAGCCACTGAGAAGCTTTGATTGTCAGTATTTTATGGGTCGGGTCACCACTGGACTTCAGGCCCACAGGGCATGCACCCACCAGAATCCAGAAACTTCGATCTTGGTCAACATTTCTTAATACTTTGTATGATTTTTGTGCAATTATAAATTCTTTTGGAACAAAACGCTGTTACTCTTTAAGGCCCTATTCAATGGCAATGAATGTATCGTTCCCCAACAAGGGGAATGCATCGTTACTGTCATTTTTAAATATACTATAAAACAATGCAGAATTGTATGGCGTATGTATTGATTTTAACCTCATGAAAGTTTAAATGACTTGTGACCATAGGTTCATGCATTTGAACTCTTTAGTGGCCAGCTAATGGTGCTGTTTGGGAGCTTATGGAACCTTGAAGAGGTAGAGCCTTGCTGGAAGAAATATGCCCCTGGAGTCAGGCTGTCAGGGTTACAGCCTCATCTCATTTGCTTCCGGTGTAGAAGTAACTTAAAGTCAACCAGCAGCTTCCTGTCACCCTGCTTTTACCACCATCTTGACTCTTGTTGGAAACGTAAGCCAAAGTAAACTTTTCTTTTTTGTTTGTTTTTCTTTTGTTTGTTTGTTGTTTTTCAAGACAGGGTTTCTCTGTATTATTTTGGAGCCTGTCCTGGTACTCGCTCTGGAGACCAGGCTGGCCTTGAACTCACAGAGATCCCCCTGCCTCTGCCTCCCGAGTGCTGGGATTAAAGGTTTGCATTACCAATGCCCGGCCTTTGTGTTTCAAGACAGATCATTGAACTGAACTAGGCCGGCCTGGAACTCACAGAGATCCTCCTGTTTCCCAACTGCTGGGAATAAGTGGGTATGCCAGATAAACTCTTCTATAAATTGTTTTCAGTCATAGTATTTCACACCAGAGCAACAGCAAAGTGACTAATACAAGGCAATATTTGTAGATTTAAATGTAAGAACATTTTGATTTACAAAATAAATTCAGTGAGTTCCTTGTTTGAAGGAAGGAAAAAGCAATGGATTTGATCTAGACTAACTCCACAAAACTGACCCATAGGGTTCTGGACAGCCCCTATCTGACCCAGCATGGTGCCGCACAGCTGTAATTCCAGCACCAGAAAAGATGGGGCAGGAGGATCACTAGTTTGAGTTACAGGCCACTGTGTGTTGCATAATTAAGATGTAACCTCTGGAGGAGGGAGGAGAGCCTTGTAAACCTACAAGCCTACAGAAGTAAGTAGATCTCTGTGAGTTCAAGGTCAGCCTGAACAACATGAGGCTTTGCCTCAAAAACCAAAACCAGGGGGCTGGAGAGAGATGGTTCAGAGGTTAAGAGCACTGCCTGCTCTTCCAGATGTCCAGAGTTGAATTCCCAGCAACCACATGGTGGTTCACAACCATCTGTAATGGATCTGGCGCCCTCTTCTGGCCTGCAGGCATATATGCAGGCAGAACACTATACATGATAAATAAGTAAATAAATAAATAAATCTTTTTTAAAAATCTGCGTCTGGAAATGTAGCCCAATGGTAGAGCAAATTGCATAGCTCACACAACAACCTGCAGTAAGACATACAACCCAAGAAAAACTGTAACAGGCTTTTTCTTTTAGGCCACCAAGCAAATCATGACATGAATGCCTGCCCTTATCTTCTCATTTCTTACTATCTCTTATAACTTAAGCTGTTCCTCTTCATCTATGTTTTACCTCAGGGCTTTTTACCTTTAATTCTGTATGTCCTACTTTGCTGCTTTTCGTGACTTCTGGCCCTGCAAGTGTCCCTCTTTTTCCCTTGTTCTCTTCTTTCCTTCTCCTCTCTAAGTTTCTCCTGTTTATTCTCTCTTCCCACCAGCCCCACCTATCTCTCTTTTGGCTATTCGATTTTTTATAAGACCAATCAGGTGCCTTAGGCAGGCAAGATGAAATAGCAACACATCTTTACATAGATTAAACAAATGCAGCAGAAACAAATGTTACATAGTTAAATATTTACATAGTTAAAATCCACAACACCATACCACCATAATGGGAAAAAAATGAAAAACATTGTGATAAGTTGAAATTTTTAAACATTTTAATTTTTAAAATCCATTCATGTAGCCAGGTGGTGGTGGCCCAGCACTCAGGAGGCAGAGGTAAGTGGATTCGAGGCCATCCTGGTCTACAAGAGCGAGTCCCAGGACAGGCTACAAAGCCACAGAGAAACCCTATCTCAAAAAAAAAAAAAAAAAATATCCATTCATGTGTGTGTGATATGGTGTGAGACACATGCCACAGCATGTGTGAAGGCCAGAATACAACTTTGTGTAGGCACTTACCACCTTTCATTGCATAGTTCTGGCAATTGAACTCAGGCCATCAGGTTTGCATAGCAAGCAGTTTACACACTGATGCATTGCTCTGGCCCTGAAAAGCATTTTAATGATCTTGTAGCAGAGCTTCCCTGTCCAGGAGCTGGGGATGCAGGTCAGTTGCCACAGAGCTTGGCTATCATGTGCTTTATTCAGTTCCTAATGCATCATAAACTGGAGCAGACTGGTATACTGGGGAAGTGTAGGTAAAGGACCAGAAGTCCAAGGTCATCTGTGGCTATGTAACAAGGCTTTTGAAACTAAACCTATAATCCATGAGAGACCCTTCCTAAAAATTATCAAACCAATGAGTGGATCAGTGGATCAACCTGGTGTATTCATGACATGATCAATGCTTCGATATGGATAAACTTTGAAAGCATGTTCAGAGAAATGCGACACAAGCCATATACTGTATAATTCTATTCATATCAAATGTCCAAGCAACCCTATAGGGTATAGGGAAAGACTGTGTATAGGGTAGGATAAGAGAGCAACAACTGATCTTTATCAATACAAAATTGGGAGTCAAATATTGGGGTAAGAACCTGAAAAGATCAGAGAACAGGGAGTAGCCTCCAGTTGCTTCCTACCTCTTCAGGTCCTCCAACCAAAAAGGACTGAGATGCTCTGTGCACCCCGCCTTACTACTTCCTGTCTCTACAGTCTTCCAAACCTCTGGTTAACTTGTGA